CCTCACATAGCTGTGGCTTTTAATCAGCCCATGGTGGATTTGGGAGGAATGATGGGGCGAGCAAAGCAGACAGTCTGGGCACCGATGTAGTGTGATGGAGTGCAGGCTGCTACTGAAGGTGAGTTGGTGAGAGTCAGTGGAGTACAGAGAGTGTAGGAGATTACAGAGGTTTGTGGCTGTGGAGCATGATAGGATGGCAGTGTGAAGGGAAATAAAGTGCAGAGGAATGTTGGCAGGAGATGGAAAGGGAACTGCGTGAGGAGGTGCGGACCGCCCGTGATATGGATGTAGGCCTAGTAAAGACAGGTAACCCAGGTATAAGGAAGATGATAGAAAGATTTCTGCAGGTAGAGGGTGGTGGTGCTTATCACCAGAACCTGTGACACCTTCCTCCTGCCTGTCCCAAAGGCAGGAGGCAAAATGTGGAGGTTAGTTTATGATTTGTATGCAGCAAAATAGTTTAGCGAAGGATCAATCAGTGGAAGATCCCAGTCCTCACACCCTGCTAACAAATGTGCCACCCAGTGCAAAGTGGTTCATAGTTGTAGATTTGTAGTTGGCATTTTTCAGTGTGTCCCTAACATAACAGTCACAGTTTTTGTTTGCGTTCACCTATAGGGGTCAGCAGTTAATCTACACGAGGATACTGCAGGGATGTGAACACTTGCTTAGGGCAGATTTGGATGGGTTGAATTTAAGAAGCACAGCGATACAGTATGTGGGTGATCTGCTCTGTGTTATATACACAGGCACTGAAGCTTCCGTTGCTGAAGGTCTTAGCGAGAGGGGGGCTTGAGGTGCCCAAAGCTAAACTGCAATACTGATAAGAACAGGCTGCATACTTGGTCACGGGAGGGGGCCTTATGAGGCCTCTGTTTGGAAACAAAGGGGGGCCACTAAGGACACTGATGGTCTGTTTCACAACCATGATGGATTTTTGGTTGTGTCTCTGTCGGTGTCTGACACCTTGGTAATAAATGCACATGGTCTTAACCATTGCGCAAGGGGGGAGTGCTACGGAAAACAAAAAAAACAAAAACAAGGTTTATGAGTTGAAGTTGTGCATGGGGTGTCTAACTCAAATATGCAAAGTTATTTTCAAGCAGGAAAATGGGAAAGCACAGACAGCAAGAGAAGACACAGACCAGGACAAGCCAGTCATCTCCCCAGGAGACAGAGTACACCTCAAAGTGTTAAATCACAGGGGTTACAGGATGAGATGGCAAGAGATGCAGGTCAACACGCAGGAATGTTTGGCTGGTGGTATAATATGTGGGGAAGTTGGCAGCAAGCCGTTATGGAGGCGCTTTTCTTTAGAGCTGTGATTATTCTTGCTCTGTTACTAATCTTTTGCTGTGTAGTTCCTTTACTGCATACCCTAGTGAGCAGCACGATGTCCAAAATGCGACAATAGCTGCTATGTCAAAGGTGGTGGGAGGACCATTCAGAGCAGCAAGTTCCTGGACCAACATGGAACCACCTGGCCACAAGGTCCTGCCCACGTTGAAGTCAAGCCGTTCCTGCCATGCATAGATCATGAAGGACCTGCTGGGTTGCAGCTGTCTACTTTGACAGCTGGAACGATTAGCGTAATGAAGAAGTGTATGATACGGCCACTGGACTGGAGCATTATCAGATAACCTCTCAGTTATCCTTGTGTGAGACATATATTTCATATTGAGACTGTATTAGATAATGTAGTCTTGGTAGGAAAAAACAGAAAAGGTCTGTGATGTGAAATAATAGGTTTTGCTCTGAAAAATGTAGGCCTGCTGCATTATTCATTTGGGTAAAAGTAATTAGATTAGATTAGACTTTATTAATCCCACAATGGGGAAATTATTTGAGAATGTTCATGTTAAACAACTAAGAGTGTAACCCTGATGCTTTTAAATACATCATGTTGGTGTATTCTGGAAGATGCTGTGTAGCTGTTGCTCCAGTACAACTGGACATTAACTGAAAGCTCAACCCAGTTGCACTTATGCCTAATCGATGTTTGTAATGTACTATTTGCTTCATATGAATGTCACTTTGGATAAAAGCACCTGCAAAATAAATGTACTATAAATTCCACCAAACAAAAATACATAGTATAAAAAATATGTATCTGGTACTGGTTCAATTTTGGGGTGATCTGTCAAAATTTGATGATTTTTGGATTGTCACTCATATAATGTACCTGGAGTGGCACACTGATTAGCACTGTTGTCTCTGTCTGTAGAGTTTGTATGGCCTGCCTGTGTTGTCCTTGGGTTACCTCCAGGTACTCTGGTTTCCCCCAACAGTTCAAAAACATGCTAAGGTTAATTGGAGTTATCATAATTGCACGTGTGTGTGACTGGTGTGTAAGCGTGCCTGGCAATTTGTTGGTACCCAATCCTGAGTTGTTCCCTGACTTGTACTCATAGGCTCCAAACCCCCTATAACCAAGAATGAAACAAGCAGTCACAGAAGTGGATGGATGGATAATGTGCCCACAAAGTTTGAAAATAATCCATTAAATATTTTTAGTTTTACTGTGTACTCATGACCAAGTGTATTCTGTAGCTACCATTTATGTCCTTCGGTACCACACAGCACTGCTTCTTCAGTTTTGGGGCAATTTATTCAAAATGAGATCAGGTGTAGATCTTCATCCATGTTATGTTTTGTGAAACAGTAATAAGATCCATCAAATACTCTTTGACTAATTACATTCACAAGGCCAAGTGTTGTCTATTTTGCTGCTACGAAGTGCCATTGCTTCAGTTTTTGGGTGAAACAGAAGGGAGTGGATACTGGCAACAGGCAGTTTATTTCGATATACACAAAACACATAAAATCCACATAAAGGAACAATCTATGATCGTATGTGGTTTATACTTGAATAGTGACTCGATGTTTATAAACATGGGGGAGAATTGAAATGTGGATTACGTAGACCACGATGTGTTCTTCTGTAGTTGCTTGTGCTATTCAGGGTTGTGGGGGGTCCCAGCATGGGGCACCAGACCATCACAGGGCACACTCACATACCATTCACTCACATACACACCTACAGGCAATCTGGTATGGATGGAAATAGTGCTACATATAAACTGTACCTTAAAACATGCAATTTTATTTAGTTATTAAAATGTGTTTCAATATATTAGATTTTCACTAAGTAAATGTAACAGCTTGCGCATACTGTAATAACTTTTTTTTTTTTTTACATGATGTGCAACTATTAGAATGTGCATGGTTATTACTTCATGTTTAACATATTTCCAAGTCTTGTTATAACAATTGTTGCATGAATGCTCCAGGGTTACGTTCCTATAAACCTATTGTAAGGCAAATATATATTTCAATATAGTACCTAACATACATCATAGTCTAGCCTAGCCTACCTTAAACATGCTTAGATTTACATTAGCCTAGAGTTGGGCAAAATCATTAACACAAACCCTATTTTATAATAATGTGCTGAATATCTCATGCAATTTATTGAATAATCATACCCATCGTAAGGTCAAAGTATTGTAGCATGGACCATCGTAACCCAGGGAGCGTCTGTAATTGTAATTTGAAATAATTGAAATCTGGTATATTGATACAGTTTGCTTTATTTTAAACTAATTTTCCATTTACAAATAATCAATTTAATTGTCTGTCACCACACGAAGGAAAATATTAGGGCTGGGATGATTATTCGATGTAATCGACGATGTTGATTATAAAAATGCGTCGACGTGGAATTTTGTCGGTGCCTTGTGTCATTTATTCATTATTCATCATTAAGCCCTTTGGTCCTCTTGGGTGCAAAGGCCGTTGACGAATTTCCTTCTCCCTTGGGGGTTCCATTTGAAGGCTTGAGGGGTAATATTTGCGGCAGGTTTTCTGAGGGTGTGACCAATCCAACTCCCTCCATATGGTTTTCTGCCTCCTCTTCATGTCCAGAATAAAAAATGGACTGGCCACTGGTCAATCTGACCTCACCCGACTGCGTCCATCTTGTTTCTACCAGGCCCCGAGCTGAGAGGTTGTAGCGCTCCATTTCCTTGGAAATGTTTGCAGCCTTGCCAGCCTGAAACATCGTTCTGATGTTCCATGTACCCACGAGGATGGATTTCCTTGTCGTCAGAAAGTGTATCGGCTTACCAGCGCCCTTGTGGGTTTGGCTGGTAAGCGTCACAATCCCCATTGCTGGGGCACCTTCTTCAGGCAGGTGTATGATTTGGTTTCTATTCGTCAATGTTTCTGTAACTGGAACGTTTTTTACAGGATGGGGTAGTCAACCCCATGCCCAACCCCCAACCTGGAGGGCCGATGCCTTGTGTAAAACTACGTAAATGTTTTGTAACTGCAATGCACTAAGTGATAAGGCTAAACATATTGTAAAGGAAAGTACTTTATCCCCTCAGGAGCACGTTAACGCTGTCCTTTTAAGAATCGCGCAATAAAACAGTCTGCTAATAACTGAACTGTACCACCCGATGATCTCTTCGCCACTCAAGAGCTACAATATTTTATTTATTGGACCATTTACAATACAAAGTTATTCCACTAATAAGATGGCTAGTTGTTTCACTAAATCAATTATAGACTGAATTCCAATATAGTTTTGTCTAATATCGCCAGTGCCAGCAGTGCCACACTATTTTGTAAGGCAGACATCTCCTACCACCCTGCAAAAAGGAAATTTACCGCCCGCCCCCTCGCACATGAGGCAACATGGCTGCGTCTACCAGCAGAGCTGAATTGGTATTAAATGACTAACTGGAAAATAATTGCTCATCAATAAATTTATCATCAGGTCAATTGAAAAATTAGTTGTTAGAGTAGTCGAATAATCGGAGGGGAAAAAAAAAATCGCTAGATTAATCGTTTAAAGAATAATCGTTTGGGACAGCACTAGAAAATATTAGAATTAAGAATTTATATGGATGCATCTCAAACATTTAAGCTGGCATAATTTTTTGACATAAGCACATTTTTGACATTTTTCGCTTCTGTAAAAAATAGGTAAAGTTAAATTCATTTTACTCAGTTTATTTAATTTGAATAAAATCAATTCCTTTGTTACCACATGTTCTTTTTCTGATGATCAGATAGGCATTTTGAGTTGAGCACATTCTGTCAGCAGCATCAGCACAGGGGTGATGTATTGAGTACCGGTGATCTGTCAAAATAAGTTAATAAACAAACATTAATAAATACATAAATAAACAATGAGCAGGCAGAAATTTAGTAGAATTAAACCAAATCTCTAGAACCAGATTTCGAGAGCTGTGGTTCTGAATGATGCGAGGTTGTTTATAAAGAATTTTATGCAATGAATAATATATTTGGGCAAAAAAAAACTTTCCAAAATATCAGCACCATACAACATGCATCATGCTTGATAAATTCCAATTAAGTCAAACTGCAATTTTTAAGCAATTACTTGCACGCTCAAATACTACACAAGGAAAAGTGACAGGGAAAAAAAATTTTTTAAATCGCTACTGCAAACATCAAATGATATCCAGGTCACTTCTTGCTATTATCATCAGAACAAATCATGAACAGATCAAAACAAAACGAAAAATTAAATGCAGTGATTTTTGGTAAGTTCAGTGTTAAAGATGGGGAACTAAGCCTTCAAATGAGCTGACATTTGAACAAACTGATTAATAACTAGATTTTTCCCCACAGTCAGTATTTACTGACCTAAATATCACTGGACTGCTACTTCTGTTCACAGCTGGCCACCTTACTAGACAACATATGGATTCATTAAATACCATTAATGTTGTGAATTTTTAATGGTGGTATGCCATTCAACTGACCTGTGATTTGATGCATTTATAAAGATGCAATATTAAACAATGCCAGCAGCCTGTTCAAAATAGCCTATAAGAATCAATGGTATTGAATAGGGCTGGGCGATATATCAATATTATATCACGCATGCGCAATAATCACCAGGGCTTCAGATGACTGACAAAGCATTTGGTCATGAGCCAGCTTTTCGGTAAAATATGGACATTTATTTACGCTTACAATTTAAGCAGTTTAGTAGTATGGCTAAAATATTAATGAGGCTTTGTATGACGCCCAAAAGTCATTATTAGGATAAATACGGCATATCCTTATGTTTCATAAATGTGTCAGACTTTTAACTGCAAAATGTACCACCACACTGCTGACTTCTTTTTACGTTGTTTATCCACAAGATCACCTCTTTTAAAAGATATCGTGGCTACTCTTCTTCACCGTGACTTATTAGTGCATATTAGTATACCAAAACAGTATTATACGGGGTGCTCCGCTAATCGAATTTAAGAAACAAAGTTTATACAGATTACAGTGGTACCTCGGTTCTCGAACTTAATCCGTTCCGGACTCCGGATCGAATCCTAAAAAGTTAGAATTCAGATCGAATTTTTCCCCTTAAGAAATAATGGAAAACCAATTAATTGGTTCCCGGCCCCCCGTTAGTAGTCTAACCCTTTTTTTTAGCATTTAAACACAAAATGAACAGGATAAAGCAAGAAGAGCTTTTTTTTCTTAATGGCTTCCAAAACGATAAAGATTTTATCCCAACATTACCCCTGTCCTGCCCCGATCGTCCGCTCCTTCCGGGTGCCACGCCTCCTCGTTAACCTCGTGTGGGATCCCCATGTGATCAGCTGTTTCTGGTCGTTGTCATTAGTCCTCTGTATTAAGTCTGCATTTCAGTTTGTTTCCCCAGTCCGGTCATTGGGTGCGTTTGACTTGCTTACAGCGCTGGCTTAAAGCAACGCATTCTGATCCTGATGCAATGCATTACGGTTAGATGCATTGCGACCTCTCACCCGGCTGCACAAACTGGAACCGCCTCCTTATTGGCTGAAGAGTTTAGTTACACGTATGACGTTTGTATCCCAGGCAGTTCCGATGCGTAATCTGCTATTTCTCCCGAATATCACATAAAGCAGTGAGAACTGGTTTTCAGTTAATTTACCTGGTAAAATAAAGTTTAAGTAAATGACATAAATGCTCTAATAGTACATGTAAGTTAGTGGGTTATTTATTGTTAGTTAATGTAATGTTGCGCTGCTTTATTTGGTTAATCGTCCAGTCTGTGAAGAAAGCATTCAAGTAAGAATTGCATTGTAGTATGACTCATTTCCTGGCGCGTACAATTTATATTAGGTCAGCGTTCACGTTTCGACTTCTGATATTCAGATCAAGTTCTAGGTCAAACTGGTTTGTTCGACTTTCAGGAAATTCGAGTTCTAGTGAGTTTGAGAACCGAGGTATCACTGTACTAACTTTTGGGTATCACAAAACGCATCTCTAATATTTTAGCCATACTACTAATCCTCTTACCAAATTATGGGCGTAAATTAATGTCCGTGTTTCACTGAAAAGCTGGCGTCCGGCCAAATGCTTCGTCTGTCATCTGAAGCCCTGGTGATTATAATATCGATATGATATCGCCCAGCCCTAGTATTGAATAACTTTATTTGGCTTGAATAACACCCGAGTAAAAGTCATTAATTTTTAAAGATAGAATGTTTTAAGGGGGACTGAGCATTATTCCAGCATGTCATTGCTATGGTTTTGGTACCTAATATGCTTAGAGAACCACTAACATCCAGGGGTTAGCAGCATAATTCTTTCAACCAGAATAAGATTTCCTATCTTGGATTTCAGAAAATTATCCGCAAATATTAAAATAGATCAAGACCGATCATATGCTGCAAAGTCTTACCAGTTTTTAATACTGGGAAGCAAAATTAAATTTGAGAGGACATTAACAATAAAGGTTCATTGTTAAAGAATTATTTTTTTTTCCAAGAGTTGCAATTTAAGCCTTGCTACCTCTCCAGCATTGTGCAAAAAATTTTTTGGGTAATTTGTTTAACATTTTCTTCATAGGAAGGTTATACTGAAGGTTTTCCTTCCAAAAATGAAACTATACCCATGCCATTCTCGCTAGTGCTTTGTTCTTGTACAATTAAGAAGTTCATGGAGCACTGCTCTGTATCAAGGACTGTATTCAGAGCTTTCTGTAATTCCACCTTATGTCTGAGAATACAAGATATTCACTCTTGCATAGTCTAAAATTACATAGTTCAGACTCACCCTCTCTGGAACAGAACTAGTGACTTCTACTTTTTAAATAGCATGTGTTGTGTCAATAAACATTCCTTTTGCCTGTTAAAAACAACACTGCCTACATTGTCCACACCCAAAGCGTGCAAGCACATTTCACGTGAAATTGAAGAAGTATTTGTATGGGCATTGGATGGACTGCCGTTGACCAGCCATATTATTGTAGACTAATACCACACTCCCTTCCCAGGGGTACACAAAGCTCCCAGCTCATGCAAGCGCCTTTTGATGTCCAGAGACAGATCCTTATCAACTACAGATTTGCCACAAAAAATATGTATACATTTAAGACCTCAACAAATATTTAGTCAATGCTGAATGTAATTCACAAATAGGTGAAAATGTGAACATTTCTGGTTTAGCAATAACGAGGCAAATGCTAATTACACTGCATTCCACAAGAAGCACATGACAAATTTTAAATTCTAAAAGTCAAAATCTAAATTGTCTATCCACTAATATCCACTGCCTATCTGGTTTTCAGAACACATCGAAACAAGTTCAACAAACTGGTTTACCCACTGAACACGCACACACACACAAAGAAATCTGTAGTAAATGTACACTGAATTGACGGTTTATAAATTTCACTAGCTAATGTCATCAATAGGCATTGTGTTCTGCATTGACTGATGATAGACAGATAGATTAGACAGATAAATATAATTAATCCCCGAGGGAAATTCAGTTGTCACTGGATTTTATGAAGTCTACAGAGATCAGAATCATTCTTATTCAAAGTCTGTCTTATTGAGATGACCCCCTACATAGCACTGATACATTATGCTAATTTTATTTAAAAAGGGTGTCTATTTCATCATTCAACTAGATTCTCTTCAGACCCTGTATGCTATGAGAAGCTAACAGTCTAGATAAGTTGCTCAGTGAAAATACACTGCAGCAACAATACAACTTGGAATGCAAGAGCCAAAGCAAAATCAACATGAAGGAACTTTGTATTACTGAAAGCGAATGTGGTATGGCTAGGGTTAGGGTTTTTTTCATAACAGGTACTAAAACACAAGGGAAAGCGACACGAACACTATTAGCATTACCAGAAATGTTTAAACTTGCACATCAAGCGACCCAAAACTCTGTCATCGTAACATGCCAATGGTAAACAATTGCCAGTAACGAGTGCATAATTAAAGGAATTATGCTTCAGGTGTTGCCCAAAGAAACTAATGTTTAAATGATGTAGCTCATATTTCAAAATAAAAGCACAGAAATAAAAAAAACTTGTTCAATATTTTGAACAATATATTTGGATGTGATGATAGTGAGTGCATTGTACATGAATTTGTGTTATATCCAGTCATATCATACCAAGGCTACAGTGTAGTATAAAACTGGTTCTGTTTTTACTAAAATGTAAATTCCTACAATGAAAAAGAAATGGAACATTTTGTTACTTAATATTGTCATTAAACTTGTCTTGTAATTATAGGCTTATGTAGTATGTCTCAGTAGACAGAGTTAGATACACGGTAGTATTCTGCTGTATTTTTAGGGGGAAAAAAGAAAGGTACCTTGATCGTTCCATCACAGTGTGCAGAGCCCAGTGAAGTGCAAATTCTGGTTAACATTCCTGCAGATAGATGCATCCTGAAGTGTCTGAAGAAGTGTGACTCAAGTCCTTTCATGAAACGCCTGACTTCCTCAATGCTAATGCCATCTTCCATGCTATCGTTTTGCCGAATACTGCTCCACAGATTCCAGGCGTCTTGTGGGTGTACTGTGTATGAGATGTCCAGAGGAGGCAGTGTAGGCAAGTTCCAGGCAAGCTTTAGGTATCTAATGTTGGAAGCAGGATGGCACTCAGTCCAGAGGGCACCAAGCCACTGAAGAATGCTAGAATTTAAGCTTAAAGGCCCAAAGTAGCAATCAAACATTCTTGTGAACCATGACTTAACCAGGGCAGTTATGGACTCTGGCCCATTGGTACAGAAGAGGGGCAGAGAGACAAAATCAGATGGCAGGGATCTCATATAGTCCAAGTTGCCGTTGACACAAGTAAACCATCCACTCCACACAACTTTGACAGCACTGCCCTCTACAGCAAATGCAGGCTTGGAACAGATCTGGAAAGAAGGCAAAAATAACTCAATTTGTAAACAGTAGTTTCTGAATATATAGTGATTTAGGTCATACTTTTATACCAGACCAAGTGCAAATAAATAGGGTAATGTTTTATGTTTAAACCTATGATAATGGAAACAATCTTTCAATATACATAAAGTTTAAAAATGCTGTGGTTCTACACTGCTCAAAAGAAATCTAAGGAACTTTCCCAATGGGAAAAAAATCATGCTGATATCTATGCTGATATGGACTGGGTAATGTGTTTGATGGAAATGAAAATCAACCTACAGAGGGCCCCGAAAATAAGTGAAAAAATTATACCGCAGGCTTCATTGTCTAGCCTATAGAGCAGGGGTCTCCAACTCCGGTCCTGGAGAGCTACTAACCAGTAGGTTTTCTTTCCTACCTGGCTTCTGATGAGCCACATTAGTTCTCAGGTAAATACCAGGAGCAGGTGTGGCTCATCAGAAGCCAGGTAGGATAGAAAACCTACTGGATAGTAGCTCTCCAGGACCGGAGTTGGAGACCCCTGCTGTAGAGGTCTGTACATCCCTTCACGGATATGCCTCCCTCAGCCATCACTGACCCACCACGAAACTGGTCATGCTGAACAATGTTACAGGCAGCATAACGTTCTCCACGGCTTCTCCAGACCCTTTCACGTCTGTCACATGTGCTCAGGGTGAACTCTGTGAAAAGCACAGGGTGCCAGTGGCGGACCTGCCAATTCTGGTATTCTATGGCAAATGCTAATAGAGCTCCATGGTGCTCGGCAGTGAGCACAGGGCCCACTAGTGGACGTCGGGCCCTCAGGCCACCCTCATGAAGTCTGTGTCTGATTGTTTGGTCAGAGACATTAACACCAGTGGCCTACTGGAGGTCATTTTGGAGGGCTCTGGCAGTGCTCATCCTGCTCCTCCTTGTACAAAGGAGCAGATACCGGTCCTGCTGATGTTTTAAGGAACTTTTATGGCCCTGTCCAGCTCTCCTAGAGTAACCGCCTGTCTCCTGGAATCTCCTCCATGCCCTTGAGACTGTGCCGGGAGACACAGCAAACCTTTTGGCAATGGTATGTATTGATGCGTCATCCTGGAAGAGTTGGACTACCTGTGCAACCTCTGTAGGGTCCAGGTATCACCTCATGCTAGCAGTAGTGACACTGACCATAACCAAATGCAAAACTAGTGAAAAAACAGTCAGAAAAGATGAGGAGGGAAAAATGTCAGCGGCTTCCACCCGTTAAACCATTCCTGTTTTGGGACTTGTCTCATTTTTGCCCCTCTAGTGCACCTGTTGTTAATTTTATTAAAACCAAAGTGAAACTGATTAACAACCCCCTCTGATACTTAACTGACCAGATCAATATCCCAGAAGTTTAACTTACTTGATGCTATACTCTGATTAAAAAGTGTTCCTTTCATTTTTTGAGCAGTGTATTAATCTCTATTTTCAAAAAAGACAAATGTAAAGTCTAGCAAGTCTATTATTGTAGCTTACATGGGACATAAAAATAATATATTCTTAAAATAAAATAAAATATTCTTGGCCTTGCTGACCAGGTGAAGCTGAGATTTGGCCCTGTGCAGAAAATAATCCCCATGCCTATTCTATACAAAAATACTTATTCAAGGAAGCACTGCAATTGTGGATCCCATTAATCCAGCTGAAAGCCCTTCTGAGCCCTCTGGAGGACACCTGAGGATTACCTTTATAAAAACAGTCTCTGCATCCTCATCAGTCTCTGTCATCCCAAGGACCACAGAGAACACCACCTTGAAGCCCATCTCTGGTCCAACTTCCACTGCAATGCCTTTCTGTTTTTCTGCTACTATGAAAGCTGAAAGCTGCTTGGAGTACAACACAAGCTGGGTGTGTCTGAATTTATACAAGGGTGTGACATAAGACAGTTTCCATTCAATATTGGCAATGTAAGCCAGTTGTTCTGGGTCCTAGAAAAAAAAGGGGTAGGAATAAGATGAATATCAGAAGTCAAACAGCTGGTGGATATGTAACATACAATGAAATGATTACACCACTTATTCTGGGGCCAGCTGTATGTCACTGGCTTATATTAAATTACTGATGTACACCATCAAATGTAATTCCATACACAACTATCCTGGGAGAGTTTAATACTCTAGGAACTATGTATATAACTAATGAAATTTAAATATACTATATGGATGATTAAACTGGTCAACTATAAAACACTGGTTATGGCAATCGGCTCCCTCTGGCTTTCAAGCAAACAACTTGCAGAAAAGGCCATTAGAGGATCTGTTACTGGAATGTAACTGTTTTAAATAGCTAACTGAAATGTAAATCACACAGTATAGACTGAGGATACGACCTATCCCACATACATCTGCACTACCCGTAGGCTATGCTTTATTATCCGCAAACATCACAGACATTAAATGTAATGTGCTCCGCGGACTGTTTTTATTATCTTTTTATATAGCCAGCTTACATTTCTCATCCGATTAAGTCATTTTTATAAAATATTACATAATGTAAACCATCTTATGTAAATCGACTAAAACGATTAACAACATCCTTTATTCCATCACACAGATGTTTTTCGACGAGATGGTTTGAATCGATATTACGTATGTAGCTTAGTCATGATTGCTATGTGTAGAAGAAAAATGTCAGGCGATTAGCCATTTCATAAGTTAACTAGTTAACAATCGAAAGACTTTCATAATTACAAGTGACCTTATGCATTTAAAGTTTACACATTTTTTCCCCACTTGAAATGCTTACTATATCGTTACGTGTGTTCGGTTTTCTCCGACTTGTTGGGATTCTCAGGGCAGTTAGTTGACCCGGTGTGTATCGTAAGTTAGTTTTCTCAAATCCAAGACTTCTTCGGCCCGATGCGACGTTAGTTCGGGGGGTCATAGTAGCACTGAACAATGATAAGCAGAACTTCAATAACACAAACAAAACAGCGCTTACGCGTACGACAGAATACACTAAAAACTCGATAGTACATCACAATATAGTTATTCGCCACATACACCTACTTCTGAATAACGCGTTTGTTTGTTTATATCATATTTCTGCCACAACAAATAATCGATGAAAATTCACAAACCTTTTCTGAGCCTCCATAACCTACAAAACAGAGAAAAACGGAAACAAATTTGAACATCGCACCCTCCCATCATCCAATGCGCTATATGCACGCTCATTTCCGCATTCTGACTAAAACGGCTGTTCACTTCCGTTGCAAGCTATTTCACGACTGCAGATTAGCTCCGTCTATTCAGCAACATGGCGTTTTTTTTACTCGTTCTTTTCAAGATTTGCTACGAATGACCGTCAACGACGTTAGTCGTATTCTCCAGTCACTCTGTCATACCTCCACGAGTAAAAAGGAGAAGGGCTTCAAATTATATGTTTCCAGCTATATCCATAATTACGATGGTAAGACACGGCCGTGTAATGTTAGCACGTTTGTGTATTAGCCAAGGTAACGTTAATGTGTATCTGTTAATTAACCAGCGTCTCAAATTTCCTAATGTCAATGTCAGTTTCTAATAAGGATTCAGATAGCAGAGAGGTAACAGTGAGGGCTGAGTGCTACAGATCGATGAAGAAAAGCCAAAAGCCTCATAAGTGGAGCATAAGGGAAAGTTAACCTGCAGGTTCAGTGCAGGGGTGCGTTTCTCGAACAACGACGGAAGTTAGCATTGACGATGCATCGTACTATGGTAGTTCAAACTAACCAACATCCGAACGACGACTGTTTCCCGAAACCGTCGTACCACAGTACAGGGTTCGAAATAGCCGGTATCGCATCGCAGTTTGCGATGTAAAAACACCCACCTGCGAAACAATTGCCTAATTCCCGTTAAAATGATTCGCAGCCACTGCTAATCAATATCCAGTTTTAAATTTTATTAAAGTGAAAAAAGTATTTTATTATAAAAGTGAAAAAATCCAGCCCCGATACTCGCTGGCAGCGCAATTGACGATCTTGTCCAAATAACCGCGCTGCCGAATTAGTTTTTCAGGCTTACGCTAGGGCCATGTATTCAATTCATTTTCAAGTTCGTGGATGGCGCTCTACTCGCTATTCTCAGTCGGGGTACTTCGTTGCATGATCGTTCGTAGCTCTTCGGCACTAAACCACGCTGGCGTCATCTGCTTTCAAAATGGCATGCATACAATGCATACCAAATTCATGAGGGAGTACCCAAATATCATGAAAGTTATAGAAATACTTAGTCTTCCCATTCTCCAATGCAGTTGTTGAAAAAAGTTTTTCAACAATGAATAAGGTCAAGACTGATTGAAGATCTAAGCTTGGGGAGGATACTTTGGATGCCTTAGTTAGAATTAAGAAGACAGGACCAAGGTTTGAAAATTTTGAACCATGTAAAGCAGTAGAGGTTTTTTTTTTAGCAAGCTAAACCGAAGACCCAAAGCAAAACAAAGGGCACCAGCAGCAGCATCAACTTCAGCAGATACTTTAGCTGCTGCTGATGATGATGATGTAACTGAGGTGTTCCAGCATAAGAAACAAAAGGTCTAAAAAAACTGCACACTCAGACAGTTGTTGCTATCCCTATCAAGGAGCTGCCAATCTCTTTTTTTTTATTAAAAAATTCCAGTTTTTTATTTACTAGTTCAAAAATCATGTTAGTTCTGTCTTGTTGACTGCTGTAATTGTATTCATAAAACAAAAAAAAATAAAGAAAGATAAAGAAATGTTTAATTTGAAGTTTTTATTCTTTATTCATAAAAGTGACTATCCAGAGCGTTACATTTTACAAATTCTTTGCTAAGTTCTTAATCTGAACAACAAAGTGTTATCATTAATTCATTTTAATACAAAAAAATTAAACGTGTGCGAGTACTTTATGACGCTCATGTAGTAGTTAGTGCTTCCGATGGTCATTTTTAAAACTTTTAAATTTTTAAAAGCCCAAAATTAAAACTAACAGTTGAGGCTGGAAAATGCGATTTATTGTTATGTCAGCTTCTATCACAGTATAAGATTTAGTAAAATCCAAATCATGCTGCCATCAATTACGTTTACGTAGGTACACTTACTTTGGCTAAGCCGATCAAAGCAGTAAGAATTAGCTTACTGCTAATTCAGTCTTTTGAAAGCAAACAAATTATTTAATTAATTTTCAAGCGGAATTGTTCGGTGTTTCGCGTGTGCCCCATTTCTTACAAGCGGCTTGGTATTACGGTGTTCCCGGCAATTCAGTTTCCCTATGTTTCCTCTAATATTAAAGCAAAGAGGTATGTGAAATGTCTAAAAATCACTCAGGTACATTATTACATGTGAATACAGTAGATCGTCACGCATAATATAGTCTTTTAAGCAATACTATACGGTTTTCATCAAGAAATATCTCTATCGAGTGAAATAAGTAATTCAATTTATTATCTGTAAAGACAAAAAACATAGAAAAGGCATGTGATGTTTTAAAATTAATATATGGCTTGTTTACCTCAAGAGCTTCGTAAAAAGACATGAAAACAACAGCGAAACCGTGTACAAATCAGCGCGCGACAGGGGAAACATAGGGAAACTGAATTGCTCGGAACGGCAAATTTTTTTTTAATTCGAGTCGTGCCATCCAAATCCCACTGGATCTGTTCATCCGATCATATGGCGATTAAAGCCTGTGTTTCCTCGTTTGTCTATCCTTCCATTTTACTTTTTTATATTTTTGTTTCTACTGCTTTTTATTTTGTTTCTCGCGGTGATCGCTCTGTTCGCTGTGTGTTTCAAAAGATGGCGGTTGTATTTTGTGTTTCAGCGGCAGGCTATTTGCATAACCAATCGACAGCAAATACGTTTGTAAGTCCCACCCCAAAGTATCGAAGTACCAAAGAAGTACCCCAACTGGTTTGGCACTTTTGGTACTCGAGATTTCGGTACTGGTACTCGACCGGAAGTCAATGGAAAAGCGAAAGTACCGTACCAAAAGTACGGTACGGTGGAAAAGCGCCCTTAGTTAGGACTTCCGTAGTGGGAACTACAGTGGTTCCAGCGCTGATTGGTCGGACTCACGGCAAGTCGTGCGCAACAACTAACAAAGCACTTTCACAGCCGGTCGCGTACAAGCCGGTCGCGTACAAAAACTTGCGAACTGTGCAAAATATATAATAATCACACACAAACATACACACACAGACACATATATATTTGTGTCATCAGTTTCTCAGTCACATAACGCCAATAATATGAAAATTAGCAATCGCGCAAAAATAATTTTTTGAAAGACGCTCCATCTGCAATTACGTTGATTGCAGTTCATTGTGTTTCAGTCACACTACGACTACTTACAAATTCCTGGTCCGACGTTGTCACTTATAGAATGTTAGTGGCTGGCTGAAATAGACAGGTGCGTGTAATATCCAAACATTACAGACGTAATTTCCCGAGTACAAAGGCATGGATTCGTATCTGACCGCTGTAGTGTCATTCTACTCTTCCATTATTGCAATGACATCTGTCAGTGAATAAGGAGTACTTCATCAAAATGCTGTACTCTTTTCTAAGGCGACTGTTGTTCCTCTTAAGTTATGTGTGTAATGAAGAAACTGCACAACATAGGGCATGTTCTGCATAGGGCTACACATACACACATGTATACACATACAAGGGATAATGATTTATTATTATTATTATTATTGGGTTTTATTATTGTCTTTTTATTTTATTAATGTTTATTATTATTATTTCTTGTTTTTTCCCTATATATGGCGAAGTGTACCATATGGCACACAACATCCTTTACCAAGCATTACACACTAACTGCATATGCCGCTACATGGGATGGACAATCTTATTCAGAAAGGGCCGGTGTGTTTGCAGGTTTTTTTGGGATAACAGTTCGATCAGTTGCTCAAACCCAGTTGTGCGAACTCTGCAGTCGATCGGTTCTCTACGTTCTACTCTAAGTACGGAGTTGCAGCGAAAAGCTGCATGCCTAACGGCCCTTTCTGGATAAAATTAGTCACCCCTGTGCTAATCAATACTTAGCAGTCTGAGATTTGTCCCTATTGTTCACTACAGACAGTTACCGTACTTATGACCAGAGACTCACACAACAATTACGTTTCAAACTACATTTTCAGACAACTTCACATTATATGTGATCGTAGAGCTAAATTATTCTTTATTAGGTATTAAAGATTATTACATTTCTTTCTTACACGGTTACTATACCCTTATTAAACTGCATTTTCCACCATCGCTGACAAATTTACATGGAACTACGCTTCTAACTACAGCTGATTACAAGTTCTTCCATTCACTTACTTTACTCATTCTGTACTAAAAAATAAGATTAAAAGTAATTTGGTTATATTTAACTGTCCTTGTATGGCACTTACAATATATACTATATTGTATATATTTTTTGACAGATTGTATTGCGGGATTCCCATTCTGTGCAGCTACAGAGCTGCCACTGTACCTGTGTGGCAGGCAGAGTTTTGTGCAATCATGTGGCAGCACTTCTGTACCAGACAGCGCATTACTCACAGCTGAGGATCACTGCTGTTCCCCCGATACAAAGCTGCACAGAGACTGAACAACAATGGCATAAACCTAGAACCATGGTAAGTAATTTTATTAGCATGATACTTATCATGCTTATGTTTATAAGCTGTTTTTTATACATATCAAGTATATACCAGTTCTATTGATGTTCATAAATAATCTTTTTGTTAAATGCAGCAAATCTGGTCTGGTGAATGACATGGTGGTTCTTTCAGCCAGACCCAAGGAAAGAAGACTGGCAGACAGGGTCGGGTACCCGCAGATAGTTGCTGAAACGGGTGGATTTTAATGTTCTGGAATTTTGCAGGCGGGTAATTCATTACACACGGGCGGGTAGCAGGTCAATCAAAACAGTATTGTTGCCTGCAAAAATAACATATAAGCGAAAATATCTACTATCACAGTATGGATAGCTTAGATCTATCTGATTTGATTTCGTGTTAAACGGACTTTTTCGTTTCAATTCAAAATTCATGTAGGCCTAGCGCTTGTCACGTTGAGAGGTGCATAGAAAAAATAATTGTGCGTAATTTATCACGGGTAGGTAACGGGCCTGGGCGGGTGCAGATTTAACTTTGAAATAATCACGGGTGAACGGGCGGGTGTGGTGCTGTACTGGGCGGGTGCAGGTCTGCAAAAGTGGACCCGTGCAGGACTCTGCTGGCAGATGGTGTCAGGTTCCTTATTCATTATTCCTGTAGTTCTTACAAGTTACAAATGTAGTAAAAGTAGTCAACAGATGTATTTATGTAATCTCAAAACTTCCCCAACAGATGCAATATAAACAAAACACAAAAATTAACCCTTACCCCCCTTATTTTTTTTTCTCCTCCTCCCTCCTAGGACCAACTTGTATAAGGGAGTAAGTTCACCTCTGCCTGATCTTTCCGTACTCAAAGTGGATGAGATCTACAGTGGCCTTCCCCCTGATGTTGCTCCACTCATAACAATGATGGCTGTATCCTCAGATGTACCTTTGGTTGATTCAGCGTTTGGGAAAGTGCAAGAAGGAAATGTTTTGTCATACCACTTGCCAGTTAGGAGTCCCCCAAAAACCCATCCATACACAGATGCCCCTTTTCCCCTACAGCTGCCACTTAAACACTACAGATTAGGACCACCTTCTTGTTCTTTTGTTTACACTGAACATCAGCAACTCCACATGAATTCCCTACAAACATCCCTACACACAGCACACAAGGTAGAGAGCAACACGCGGAAGCAGTGTTTCAGCAACGAGTGCCACCAACTAAGTTGGGCTCGTGTCACCGCCTCCAAATTCAGAGAGGTCTGTCACACCAGGGGGCAAAGCTCTGCTGAAAATCTAGCAAAAAGGCTCCTGAAGCCAAGCTGTCAGACTGCAGACATGAGGAGGGGGCTGGAGATGGAACCTGCAGCAGTAGAAGAGTACCGCAGAGTAATGGAAGTTAACCACTATCCCTGTGGCTTCCTTATCCACCCAGATGCACCATGGATGGGGTCTACACTAGATGGGATTGTGTATGATCCAAAGGAGCAGCCAGTGTTTGGCCTTCTTGAAATTAAATCCCCAAATTTGCAGAGCTATGTGGACTGCCCATATATAAAGATCTGTGAGGGCACACATACTAAGGAAATCCCATCCTTACTTCTGGCAGGTCCAGGGTCAGATGCTCACTTCTGGCTTTGACTGGTGTGACTTTATGGTTTATGCACAAGATGACATGTTCATCCAGAGGATCCCCAGAGATGAGGAAATGATGAAAACTATTAAAGAAAAAGTTGACTATTTCTTTTTTTTATTTTTACCTCCACACTTCCCTCTGCAAATAGGACTGTTTCGTAATGAATGTGTTGTAATTTGGCATTCGAAATGTTGAATTTAATTAGATTGTAGTATGGCAAATGAACAACGTTGCACAAGTGGAATCTGTTTTTTGTCTTGTGTAAACTGCAACACAACTGAGAGGTGGGTAAGTAAAAAACCTGATAGTAATAAGTTGAACAAAGTGAATTTATTTTAATAAATCAACAGTAGTAATTTGAAATTGACAAAGAATATACAGATAAACTTTTAATATTTACAGCACCTATATAAAGATATATAGCTATTGATCTGTACACTGTAACTGAGTTTACAACTGGGGGCAGCGTGTGGCTCAGTGGGCTAAGCCTGTGTGCCTGTAATCAGGTCACCAATTCAAACCCAGCCTCAGCACGTCTTTGGGTCCTTGAGCAAGGCTCTTAACCCCCCAGCTCCTTGGGCGCTGCTACAGATCTTTGCTCAAGCCTAGGTGGGTAACAAATCTTTAATTTCAAACGGTAAAATGCTGAAAAGTACAGTAAGTTTAGAAAAACAAAGAGATTGGCTTAGGACAGGGGTGCCCAATCCTGCTCCTGGAGAGCTACCACCCTGCAGAGCTTAGGTAATTTAACACGCCTCATACAGATAACACCAGCCAACATTTTAATATTTTTTGTTAGGTGATTTAACAAAAACAAGTGCATGTTCTACAGTTTTTCATGTAGTTTTAGAATATGGCTACCAATATGCCGCCACACATCTGGTTTTGTCACAATTTACAATTAAAGTTCAACATAAATTACACTAGCTGACATCAAATTTGGCGAATAATGACATTTCGAATGACATTTTTCAAACACCGTTCATAAACAAACATTTTTTGTATATTTAGTTTTGCTCCAGCACATCTGGTTTTTCTGTGATTTCGTCATATAAAATCACCAGTAACCTGACAGTACCGGAAAGCGGACCACAGTTCTGCATACAAAGGTCGGCGTCAGTGGACCTGGAGCAGCATACCTGTAAGTTTACATAACTGCAAGCTGCCTGTAAACCCTGCTGACTGGTTTGTACTAAAAATTAGGTTACTGGTGATTTTATATGACTGGTATCAAAATGACATTATTAGGTATACAATGCATTGTATATGAAAAAAACTCAAAATCACAAAAAAAACTGACTAAAAATGTTTAAGAACGGTGTTTGAAAAATGTCATTTGATATTATTCACCAAATTTGATGTCAGCTAGTGCAATCAGGCACTTCAGTAGCACCTCAGTATGAGAGTCAACTATGTTGAAGTTAAGCTGGTTCTCATACTGAGGGCCTGTTTATCTGTATCAGGTGTGTTAAATTTGGGCTGTACCTAAGCTCTGCAGGGTGGTAGCTCTCCAGGAGCACCCCTGGCTTATGGGCACTTATTTGTGTAGCAGTACTGTAGTATATGACAGAGTAAACAAGTCACAGTCAACATAACTGGTAACCAGATCCTTACAGATCCCAGGACAGTGTAGAGAAAGTTGCTCCATGTTGTGATGATCCTACTGATTGTGGACTGGTGGATTCCATATCTGTCAGCAAGGTCCCACTGTTTTAAGCCCAGTGCCAGGTAGTTGAAGAACAGGAACATCTCATCTATGGGCTGGCAAAACAGATTTTGGAAACAGTTATGTTATTTAACCATCAAGCTATTTCCCTCTATTTGATAAATGGATGTACCATTATTATAGGAAATAATTATTTTGTCTATATTGTTCATCCAAAATTAAATTTTGTTTGTATAATGTTTAATGAATTCATATAATATATATATATATATATATAAGTAGTTTGTACTGTGTACTTAAACGCCAGAATAAAAGGAGTTGTAGCTGTTGTAAATCTAGGGGATACACTGGAGATATTACGTTAAGTTACATGATACATCATAGTAAATACTTACTGCAGATGTACTTGGCTCTGTTGTGGTGCCTTTGTCACGCTGACCATAAACGGCAGTGACGGCTCTATTAATGCCCAGAAGCGCATGAGGTGCTCATAGGATGCAAATCTGCATAATACAAATACAATATGTTAGCATGTTCCCTTCTAACAATGCCTTACAGTTTTTAATTAATCTTATTCATTATCAGTGTATCTACAGTATATCTTACCTTGTGAAAAGTCGTTCTGAAGTTTGGCAACACTTCAAACTTGTATCAACAAATAAGGTGTGTTGTTTGATAAATTGGGAAATATTTATTTATGTGTGTAAAAGTATTGATTCTGTTATTCTTGTAATGCCCTGGTCCAGGTGGAATGTTTGGAGTGCTCTCAGCAGTTGTCCTATAGCCTCCTGAGACCCAAGGAAAAAGTGTCCTTCAATTGTAGGTTATTTGTCTTTGGAGGAAATAAGACATCTTACATTTAGATTTTTTCAATTTTATTTTTTATTTCACAGCATGTCCTCTTTAGTGTACAACAGGAATAAATACGTCTCCTTACATCAGTGAAAAGATAGATGCAAAAACAAAATGTCCACTACAATGGACATAAATGAATGGGTGGGGTCTCAGGAGGATATTAAAAACACCTCATCAATGTTGAGACATTTCCGTGCAAAGCATGAGAATGTCCAGAATATTCCATCCACAAGTCAGTCTACAAGAAGTCTAGGTATAGCACAGTTTTGCAGCTATACTAATAACCAACAACATACTACTACTCCTAATAATAATAATTAGTATTCTTAATGAATAACTAATATGATTAATTAATAAGCATACTTATGAATTAGTCTTTATTGTGTTCAAGGAACAGCTTAATTGTACAAATACCTAATATCAAACATGAGTGAGGGTATTACCCTATAATCTGTATAATGATACTGTGTATGTTTTTGATTCCCGTCACAGAGACCAAGAAACAAAAGATTGATGAGGCCTTGATCAATATGATTGTAAAGGATTCACAACCCTTTAGCATTGTGGATGACGCTGGATTTAGGGAGTTTGTGAGTATCTTGGATCCAACCTACATTCTCCCCTCCAGGCAAACATTAAAGGGTTTGGTAGCAGAGAAATTTAAGATAGAAAAAGAGAAAGCAAATGAAGAGGTGAAAAAGGCCAAGGCAGTAAGACTAACTTCTAACGTGGACATCCATACATATGGATGCTTATTTAGCAGTCACATGCCATTTTATAAATGAAAAGACTGAGCTGTCTACAATTCTATTAGGAGTAGGAAAATTCCCAGAGTCTCATACTGCAGAAAACATGGCTGTAGTCAAGGCAGTCTTGATGGAGGAGTGGGGCATACAGAATAAAGTCCGATGCCTTGTGACTGACGCTGCACCAAACATGATTGCCTGTGCCAGCAATTTAAAGGTCAGACGCACAACTTGCATTGCACATGCACTAAATTTAGTCGTGAAGAGGGCCATTGATCAGACCGAAGGACTTGGTGATATCAGATCCAAGGCAAGACAGATTGTGACTTACTTCAGAACCAGTACAACTGCTAGAGAAAGGCTTTCCCAAATTCAACAACAGATGGGCAGGCCCACTCTCAAATTGATTCAAGAAGTGGAAACCCGCTGGAATAACACCTATTCCATGCTACAGCGATTGCATGGTCAAAGAGAGCCAGTTGGTGCTGCATTGGTCACTTTGAAGACAGCTCACGACCCTGACCTCAGAGGAGTATGACATGATTCATGAGTGTCTGGATGTGTTATGTCATTTCAATGAGGCAACTTTTGAACTGTCTGAAGAGAAGAGAGTGTCAGGATCCAAGGTCATTCCTCTCATCCGCATGCTTAGACATGCTGTGAACCTAAAACTGTCCCAGGCACAGAACATCAAGGCCCAGCAGTTGTGCAAGAACCTCTGGAGGTTGCTCATGGAGAGGTTGTCCATCTATGAAACCATGAGCATTATGACACTGGCCACACTGCTGGATCCAAGATATAAAACTGCAGGTTTCTGTAACAAATCTAATGCTCAGGCTGCTGTGAAACACCTTACAGCAGAGTGTGCATCCATCATATGATCGCAGGAGGCCCAGCAGAACCCATCCACTTCCACATACACTCAGCCACCAGAACCAGAGCCTGCAGGAACCTCATCTGGTACTGCAATGGCCACCGGTATTGTTGCAGCCTTTCACATTTTTATGATATGGTTCAATTACACTGAATT